TTGCAGCTCTTTTATTGGCCGAGAAAATCCTCTCTGAATATTGTAACAATAGAATTTTGTGAATGAGTTTGAAAACTTGGTTTTGCTCATTGTTCTTCCTAGTTACCAAAAGCTCATTAACGAATTTATATTGTTTCAATGTTCATGGCATTATATCTTTGTGAAAAGGAGGAGTTTTGAAGATAATTTATAGGGCGTTAGAAAGAGCGTGATTAGACGTGCATCTTGCAAGAGTGTCGAGGTTGCAGCTCTTTCGTTGGCCGAGAAAGTCCTCTCTGAATATTGAAACAATGGAATTTTGTTAATGAGTTTGAAAAATTGGTTTAGCTCGTGGTTGTTCCAAGTTACCAAAAGTTCATTAACGAATTTGTTTTGTTTCAATATTCATGGCTATATATCTCTGTGAAAAGGAGGAGTTTTAGGATAATTTATAGTGCGTTGAAAAGAGCGTGTTAAGCAGCGTAGTATGCAGAAGTGTCAAGGTTGCAGCTCTTTTATGGGCCGAGAAAATCCTCTCTGAATATTGAAACAATAGAATTTTGTTAACGAGTTTGAAAACTTGGTTTAGCTCATGGTTCTTCCAAGTTAACAAAAGCTTATTAGCGAATTTCTATTGTTTCAGTATTTACGCGTTTATATCTATGTGAAAAGGAGGAGTCTTGGGTCAAACAATCGCGTGTAACAAGGTACGTAATTAGCAGTGTATTGGGTGTAAGTGTGAAAGTTACAGCTCTTTTCTGGGCTTAGAAAATTCCCTCTGAAAATCAAAACAATTGAATTTTGTTAATAGGTTTGGAAACTCGATTCAGCTCGTGGTTGTTACAAGTTACCCAAACCTCGTTTACGAATTTCTATTGTTTCAATAACCATGGTCTATATCTTTGTGGAAAGGAAAAGTTTTGGGATAATTTCTGTGGAAGTGTCAAAGTTGCAGCTCTTTTATCGGCCGAGAAAATCCTCTTTGAATATCAAAACAAAAGAATTTTTCTAGTGAGTTAGGATCGTGGTTTTTCCAAGTTATTAAAAGATCACTGATGACTTTCTATTGTTTCGTTTCTCATAGGTTTACATCTTTGTGAAAAGGATGAATTCTTGGTCAATCTATATTGCGTTAGGAAGAGCTTTATTAGGTTTGTGTCGTGCAAACATTAGCTGGTGACGTCGTTCACTTGCTCATTAACCATTTGTTGTTATGATTTAGGAGACTATTAATGTGTGTTACACAGAGCGTGATGCTTAAGTTTTCAAATATTGAGTTTATTACAAATAACAACAAATCTACAAAAATATAATTATCATCAATCATCATGCGCGTTAAATAAATAAATAAAACATTAGTATTAAAAAAATCTATTTTGCAATCGAGGATAGGGGACTTAAAATTTGTACGCTCCATTTGTTTCTCTACGAAAAAAAGCCCGGAGTCCTTTTACACGGGACTCTGATTATCACTTCAATTATAAAAATACCGCAGTAAACAATTGTTTTTTTCTACAGTGAGGTGCTTAACCCTTTACCTCCCAAATCAAATTTGTAATTCTCCTTACTGTCAACCATACAATTCTTACAATGTTAGTTCAGAGAATTAAGTATGGGATCAACTAATTAACCCCAAATTGATGTTTTTCGCTATTCTCATCACTTATCTGATTGATATTGTATGGATGTTGTGAGGAAAAATTCCGTCTTGGTCACCCATGGGAGTCAAAAGGTTAACTATAAATATAGAACACTGACATGTTTCATTGCAATAAATACTGTTTGATGCGATTTCTATTAAGCTGACTTACATCGACTTTTGTTTCAAGATCACTAACAGTTTCTTGATCAATATAAAAGACTGCTAAAAAAACTACAAGCGCTGACTGTTCAAAGCGTTTAGTTCCTTAGTTTTCTTCCTGATCTCGTCCTCCAGGTAATCGACTTTCTTCAAAAGGTTGTTCTTATGTAGCTCAGCATTTGTCAGCTGTTGAATGACAGCTGCCAATCTGTCCTCAGGTACGTTGTTATCCCCCTCCATTTGATTGACAGTGTTGTTTAGTTCCGACTCCGTTTTCATAACCTGAGCCAGTTCAGCATTCAGATTGTCTACTTTTCCTTCAAGATTGTTTACTTGCCGTTGAAGAAGTTCTTTTGGAGATTTTAGTCCGGTTTTGACACCAAGAGGTCGGGACTTTGGTCTTGAAGTAAAATAAAGGAAGAGGTTGTTAAAACAGTAATCTTGATTGTCACAACATGCTTTACTGGTTTTCGTTTTTCACAGAGTCTTTAACACGACATTCCTAACGAATTGAAGCATTAGACGCCATTCTTTAATTTTTTGTTTTGTTTTCGTTGACGGTTTTTTGTAAAACGATACATGGAAACGAAAAACCTACATTTTTTTGCATTCTCCTCAAAGTACACAAATCCCCGAAGTACTGTATAAACTCACCTTTGCTCGTCTCCAGTCTTCTCTCCTCTAAGTTCTTTCAGCCTCGTCATGGCGAATTCTTCTTTCTTTGACGATGGCGCATGCCCAGATGAGAGGTACTCCTTCAGTTTGGCGCGGGTCAAGAAAGCGTTTTTACGCGCCAGACGTTCTGTTATACCCTGAGGGAAAATTGAAAGCCAGTCGTTATTGACGAAATAGAACATTAATAAAAAGACTTGCCAGACTAAGCTGGCATTACCCTTAAAGAAACAGTAATCGTCTTTTCACAGCCTACCTGCACAGAGAAGTCTGCATCGACTAGGCTCGACACTTTAATGTCCACCAGTTCTCCCACCACATTCACTCGCTCGGTCATTGATCTCGCAGGCTTAAATGCCGTTTCCAGGGGATTGGGGCTAGACACAGTTCCCGCCAGGCCCTGCGCGGTCGGGGTATTGCGAGACCGTGCAAAGAACAGATCTTGACAACAAACACGGAAGGCCTGAGAATTGAAAGAAAATGATAACTAAACTTGTTACAAGAATGACACTACTGAGAAAGCAGGCAAAGAATCGATATGAATTGAAGACAAACGTTCATTTGCGAGGAACAATCTATGCCACAATCCGCATGTTTATGAGTAGTGAAATTACAGCTTATAACTGACAAGTGGTTAACTGTGGTTTGTTTGGAAGATCATCTCTACTTGTTGCTTTCACAAGAACCTTAGCACCTTGCAGAATTCCAGGAGGAATTCTTATACCTTTTTTTAGTGTCAACATGGTAATTGGAGGTGACTGGATAAATAAATACCATATATTTATCATATGTTTTCTTAACAAGTTTCATACAAGGTCTGATAGCGTTCCAATCATCTTGAACTCAATCATCGAAGTGTTATATTCAGTCACAGTGTGTGAGTACAAAAACAAAAGATTGTGCATGTTCGACTTTTTTGGCTGGGTTAATACCCAGTCACACTTACGAACTGCACTGTCAGAAGAACGAAGAAGTACCTTATAGAATTCCCTGAGGAAGAGTGGGTTCTGATCATCAACAAGATCTTCAATCTTGATGTGCGCCAAACAGTGCATGATCACAACCAGGAAATCACCGACCGACTCCATCCGCTCCTGTCGCACGAACAACACCCGCCGCGCATGCTCATAGAAGAAGGAGTTTCTGAAGGCATTCCGTTCGTAGTTATTTTGGGGCAAATTGGATGCGAGCAGTAAAGTAACTTCAGGTGCTTCCATGGCTTTGCGTAACATCTGTGTTATGAAGACTCCAAAGCGATACACCACAAAGTTGGCAGGACTGAGGTCATTAATATCCACTGGGACCAAATCGCCCCGACAAAGCCACTGCGCGTCTTTAATGTCGATATATGGTCGGCCGCCTTTAGCTCCGGCCACTCCTCCCTCACCGATGTTATTTTTCAGCATATTTTCAATTTCGTTGACGCTGTCGAATATTGGTGAACCAATCAGCATCGAAACCCAGTCTTGCTCTGAAACTCCCGCGGGCAGTCCAGCGGTTATAACAGGCTGACCATCTGCTGATGACGTCAGCAAACTTTCTGTGGCGGTAAGGTCTTCTGCAATTAGGAAAGACAAAGGAACGAGATCGAATAAATAAAATAATTCAGACTGGTTTGAGCTAAGTCCCTCCAAAATACTTTTATTAAAGTTGTGCGTATGTAATTGGTGTGTGGTAGCTGACGTTTCATTATGTCGAAGTCAATCTCGATCAGTCACCTCGTCTTGATGAAGAGTCTCAGCCGCACGGGTCACGAAAAAACAGCACTTAAAAGCCGCACTACAGAATTGTAGGTTACCTGTGCCTCTCACTGACACCGATTCATTTTGACATCTGACAATGTCACATTACTAAATATTACCTGTGCTTCTCTGTCGTGTCTCTGAGGGTGCCGAGGGTGTAGTTGGGGTGCTTGCCTTCAGCCGCTCCGCCTCTTGTTTCTGTAACGCGGTCATTTCTTCTCTCTCTTTCTGTTCAGCAGCTTCTGTTTCAATCTTGGCAGAGGCTTTAATCTTCTGCATCTCTGCATCTTTCTTCTTCTTACGCCTGGCCTCAAGTTTCTCACGCAATGCAGCTTTCGTTCTCTCTTGTTCTTTTCTAAGGTTTTCTTCAAATTTAGCCATGTTGGCCTCGTGTTCTTTCATTAGTTTCTGAATAACAAATTGCAGTAAATTCAAACGCCAGAAAAGTGTAAAAAAAAAAAAAACGCAGAAAAGGTGGTTGATAGGAAGGTGTTACCTAAGAATGTTGTTGAGGGAAGGGGGGGCAGGTAGATAGATAGTTAGAAAGAGGAGGGGGAAGGGGGGGATAGTTAAGGAAGGTCTCTTTCCTCTTACCTCTTTCTGTTCCTCGGTCATTCCTCGTTGAGCCATGGCCAGTTGTCTTTTAGCTTCATTCTCCTGTGCTGCCTTTGCTCTCTTAGCGGTACGCTCGGCCTCCCGCTCTGCTAGCCTCAGTTCCTCTCGTTCTCGCTCTTTCTCCAACTCAGTTTCAAGACGCCTGAAGGATTATTACAAAGACAACATCACTTTCATATTTCTTAGTCATTCCACGGGTTCTGTAATTGGAATTATCCTTGCACAATAAAACAAATTCATACGTTCATTTGACGACTCAAATATTACAAATAAATTACTTTATTTCTTCGTCCATCTTTCTCTTCTGTTCTTCACTCTGTTGTTGTCTTTCTGCCTTTATCTTGTTGATTTTCTCAGCCATTTCAAACATAGTTTGTTCTCGGTATTCTTTGGCTGCCTGTGAGGCGCGTTCAGCTTCTTCATTGTAGTTGTTGATGAGTTCCTAAAAAAACAGTCATCTTTCAGTTTACTTGTTACAAAATACTTCTGTTACGTCCTCACAGAAAATCGTTGTTTCACATAACATCTGAATTCCTGGATGACAGTATAGCCCATAATGTTCATTAAGAACCACCTGGTGATTCAAGATAAGACGCAACTGTAAAATAAGTCACAGGACACCTTCTCTGACATGTTTTTATTAGTTTGACAAGTTACAAGAAACGATGACGCACCTCTTCGGTGGATAGCTCACTCATTGTGCCCGCGAGCTCTAGCAGTTGTCTCTCTCTAAGTTCCAGTCTAGCATGCGCATGTTTCACCTCAAGAGAAGGCAACGTGTCCAGTTCGGCCTGTGCGACTTTCTCTTGCGTCTCTTTGTCAAACTGTGCCAATTGTTTCTGCAGAAAGAGTAGAAATAAGAAATTGAAATACAAATATTAAAAATAATGCTTGATTAATTAATCGATGACGATATTTCGCCCAATGTGCGAATCTCGAGAACTTAGAAAGGTCCGTAAATGACTGTCTGTTCCACTAATTAAATGAAAATAAATACTTTATTCCTGAAAATATTTTAGCTGAGTTATTTTAATTCACACATTTCATAGATGAAACTATAAAAATATAGTACTTAAGATTCTCAGCAAAATCAAACCGCACTGTTACCTTTTGTTTTAATTTCAACTCAGCTTTCAACTGGGAAATTTCAGCTGTACTCATTGAGTTCGACTTGGCAATCAACTCCATGAATTCCTGAATGTAGAACCATAAAATAAAGTATTCAAGAAAATGTTATAACAAAATAAACAAACTCTTCTATCGAATTAAACAGGATTCTTTCGAGAGGTTACCGAGCCTAAAGAGGTTCAAACGAGAAGGTTTTCTGTGCCAAATAAGTACCACCACTATTTTGAACCATGTTACCTTCTCTTGCTCTGCTATCAGTTCTTCTCTCTCTGCCTGGCGAGTTTCGGCCATGCGAGCCCGCGCTTCTGCCTTGGCAGCGTCGATCTCTCTATTAAATTGATCTTCAAGTTGCACTCTTTCTTGTATGTGCCTCTGTTGCAATACTTGGAATATCGTGTTTCCAGCCCTTTCACTGTCCAGGTTTTGAACTGTTTTCACCAGTGCTGTCTTCTGGGCCTCGCGAATCTAGAGAAAGTAGACGATTATGCAGTCATACATGAGTAAGAGGAATGGGTGCGACCCGTTCTGTTTGGTCTGTTTGCGCGCAGTCTCCAGTAACATAATTACTTGGTTTGTCCTTAATTTTTGAACAACAAGTCCGATTCGTGTAACTGCTAAAGAAAAGTCTGCCAGCTCGCAACATGTTTATCAAACTGACGGATATAGTGCTGCGCGGTTTTCTCCAAGTTGTGACCATAACAATAAAATATTTGTATTTTCCTCATTGTTTACCTTGTCGTCTTGAACTTTTTGCCTTTCACTTTGCTGGTTCATCAGTGTCTTGGACATCTCAGCTTGGTGCTTTTGTTCCAGAGCAGCAGCTTTGCGTCTCTTCCGCTCGGCAATCTTGTCACCGAGTGAGTTCATCTGTCGTTGTTTCTCCACGTCCATGCTGCGTGACAACATCTCCAGCTCTCGCTTGTGTTGCTCCAGTAACATATCAGCCTGATCCTTAGACAGTTCGTTACGCTTTTGTGACATCTCTTTCTCGAAAGTCTCCTTCTTAGCTTCAATAAGCTGTAAAAAAGAGATTAGCATAGAATATATTTAAACAATTAAACTACTCTTTCCACCACACAAGCAAAGCTCAAGATAAATATAAAGAATAATGTTCAATTAAAATTACAAAAATGTCGTCAACTGATTTCCTCTCACCCTTCGACTCCAAGAAAAGAAAAGGGTGGATGGATTGATTAAGATATTGCCTACCTTCTGCTTCTGTTCTTCAATCTGATCTGCGACTTGTTTCCCAGCATCCTGTTGAGCAGCTCGCAGGTCTTTCTCCAGATTGATCAACTCCTCAGCCTGCTTTATTTCCAGCGCAGTTTGTTCTTCAATCTGTTTCTCAGAAAGATTCTCAAGCTCATGACTCAGGTCGTCAGCTATTTGAGCCTCTGCTTCTTCCAGCACTTGTACAGCGGCATCGTCCCCGAGCAATTCAGCCTAAAGAGAAAGAAGTTCAGTCAAATAAAACTCCCCCTGAATATTTTAATAAAAAAAAATCTGCAAGTGGGATAAGGGAGCAAGTTTTACAAAAGCTGTATTTTCGCCTTGCGTTTTCCGTGGCTAGCTATTTTATTTAAAGTTACTTTGCCAATTCTTGAACTTCCAAGCACTGACATTTTTGAATGGATTCATATTAAAAGCAACGACGCATGTCCGTCTGGTGTACGCTTGCTGTTTCACTGTAATAACAGGGGAGAGACTGCTTCTTCCTAATTGTAAAACTCCAGAAAACGAAGTTCGAAAAAATTTATTAAAGAAACGTCTGAAACATCACTCTGATTACCTGTTTCTTGCTCATTTCTTTCAGCTCTTTCTTCATAGCAGCTTCCTTGTTTATTTCTTCCTTCTGTCGTCTCCTTGCAGCAAGTTTAGCGGCCAGAACAGCCCGACTGTGCCTCTGTGCATCGTTGTATCGCTCTTTCATTTCTTCAGCCTCTGCCATATACCTCTCTACTATTTGTTGTTGTTGTTCTTCAGACATTTTAGTTCCCTTCAATAGGTTTAGCACAACCTTAGGATTAAAACGATAAACCGACAAATCAGATGAGTAAGTGACATATTCAACGTTATATTTAACTGCATTAAAAGCAAAGTGAGCCAGTTCACGTAAAATGGGCGACAGCTGGAAGGCATGGACGGGAAAAAAGGGGACAGACACAAGTGAGAGCGCAAATCGGTACGTAATCGAGGCATTCAAAAAGTTCAAACCTGTTTTCTTTTCTTTTCTTCTTGTTCAGCTTCCACCTCAGCCACCACAGCAATCAGGGCGCCTTGTTCTCTCAGTACGTCAGCGTTCTCTCGTTTCTGCAAGGCGTCTAGGATCTCTGCTTCCTCAGGGGACCCAGGTGCAACATGTTTGAGCTCTTCTTTAAGTTCCTCCTCAGTCTTCTTAGAGCGTTTGCGATCCTTTCTTTCTTTCATCTTTTCTTTCATGTTGACTCTCCTGGAAGCAGCTCGCGAGTGAAGCTGGTGTAAAAAAAAATTAAAGACGTTAGTTTTCTTCTCAGTTGCAATTCAAGTAGAGGCGTAATTTTCAAGATGGTTGGAAAACTGCTTATCCTAGCAGTGCTCACAGTATACATCACGTTCGATTACCCAGTCTGTGGCAGAGTTCACCGCGAGTCTGAATCTTGAAGCTTCCGTCAGGTATATGGGGGAGGGGAAGAGGGTGTGTCGATCCTGATGGGGTTTCGATTTCCCTTAATTTGTCTATAATCTCGTAACAAACGAATAATCATATATATGGTTTCCTAGACTTGGAACTCCAATTTCTTACCTCTCGCACTTCTTCAAAAGCTTCCTTGATCTCTTCTGGAGCAAGTGATAAATTCATGGATTTCACTCGTGCCTCCATCTCTTTATCAAATTCTGCTCGTCTGCCAGACTCCATCTCTTCTCGTTCACGTTCACTTTCTTGTTCGTAGGCAAGCGCTAGTTCAGCCAGTAGCTTCTCTTGCTGTTGGGCCAATAAGATCAGATCTCTCTCCAGTTCATCCTCATCCGGGAGATCAAGATCTATGACGTCACTGATTCCTGCAATGCGAGCTTCTTCCTTATGACGACTACGAGACAAAAAGGAAGATTTTACGAATTTCAAGGGAAGTTGATTTATTTACCGGACAAGAACATTACGGAGGCGATATTGAAGGTAACTGTTCTGAACCGCTGAGGACTAGCTATGGATGGTGTTGAAATGTTTAAGTACATCCGACGCTTTGTGCTCCACACACAAATGAGCAAACAATGGAAGCAAAAATAAACCATAATCACGATAACAGATTTATTAACAACAGACCCACAAAGTACTAGCCGACCTTAACCATTGCATGACAATGACAATGAACATGATAATCTAGTCGCTAAAGCTATGATTAAGTTGTCATTGATGGAACACTAACAACTGAAAAAAAAAATGATTGTAATACATACTTGTAAAGCTCTTTCTTGCGTCGTACTCGCTCTTCTTTCAAGAGTTTTCTAACGTCCCTCAGTTTTCTTTGTTTTTGTTGCTCGATATCTTCCTGAACTTTACTCATTTTTTCTGAGTATTCCTGGACGAGAGCTTCTTTTTCTTCTTCGCTCTGAGCTCGACGTAGTTTTTCCCTCAACTCTCCCTGAAATTGGTCAAAAACAATCACGTTGAAGTCCTGAATAGGTCATTTCATAAAATACCAGTCTTAAGTTTGGCGTTTTTTTAATGCGTATTGAGCCAGCGCGAGGCGGGCACGCAGTTTTCCGCGTCTTCCTCAGTCGTGTGACCCGCTCTTCACGCTCTCTGCTCACATGACTGACTCGCCTACTCTGCAGAGTATGCAAGATTCTAGTTTAAACCAACCGCTCTCTATGTATAAAATAATAAATATGTTAGTTATCATTGTTACTTTTTAGTAACACCTGCTACTACAAATATCTATTCAGCGATATAGTACTACAACGACCTTTTACCTGTAACTCAGTCACTGCCTTGCCTTTCTTCTCTTCATATGAAGATATAACCTCAGAGATGATTTTGATTTCGTTCGAGCGGAGTTCATTCTCTAACTGTGCGCATTCCAAAGTGTGTTTTTCCATCAAATTCTTACTGATTTCCTTTCTCTTTGCTTCTGTCAAGCCACCTGATGCGGCGATCTCCGCGATATTCACTGCCTCGCTGCTGTATATTTGTCCCATTTGATCAACTTCTACTGTTGACAGAATTTCAGCTGTGGAGAAGACAGCGCTCGACTGACGCTGGAGGCCTGGGGTTGAAGTCATAGCAGCAGCTTTTTGAGTTTGTTCGGAAGCGACACCGTGCTGGCTTATAAACACAGCTGGGGCTGAGGGAAAAGAAAGAAACATACAACAAAAATGAAAACATGTTCAATAATGAGCTTAAATGACGAATCAAAACAAAATTTTGTTAGAAGTCAAAAGTACAGATCATAGGTAACTAACACCGCTGACAAACAAGACTGGGAAATACAACTTGGATAATACATATGGATTGTAAAATTCTTTTGTTCGGCAACTGGTAAGAGTAGTAATTTGCAAACATACCAATGCTAGTGCCTCGTTCTTTAACGGCACTTGGACTGACGACGTCAAATTTAACGCCGCCACCGAGCACAGAATACCCGCCTCCGACAACTTGACCAGCGGAGTTCATCAACACTGGCATGCCCTCCTGTAAAAGGCGAATGAGGCGCTGGAGAAGAGGCAACAGCTCCCGATTAGCTTCGGGTAACGGAAGATCATCTCCGTATATCCCCAGCAGTGAGACCTCGTATTCACCAGCGATGATTGCTCCTCCCGTCAGCACAAGCTGAAGTGTGAAATAAGTACAAGTTGAAAATCGCCAAGTTAAAATGAGATAATTGTCGATTGATATAGTTTTAGGAAAAAAAAACCAACAAAATTAAACAGCACGAGTTACCTTGGCCTCCAAAGCAGAAATCTCGGCCTTGTTCCTGACGTATTCTAGTCCCGAGTGCTGTTCGTCCAGCTGTTCTGTGCGGCTCTGGAGCTGATCTTGTAGTTCGCTTCGTAACCTGGCCTTTGCTTGCTGGAAGCGGTCAGTGACAGCAGCCTCGGCCTCAGGATTTAGTGCACCCTGAAAAAGGAAAAACGTTAAAGACATAGAAATTAAATCCGATGAAGAATTGAGGAGAGAGGAGAAAAGAGAGGAATAACATGACTTGAGGTGAGATGAACCAGAGTAAAATACATAGATTTATTAGTCTGAGGTGAGATGTCAGTTTTGAATTCCCTTAAAGCAGTTCTGATTTCATTTATGAAATTTAAGATTTTCCGTACCTGGAGTTCTTCCATTCTGTTGTTGTATTTTGTCTCTTCGGTTCGCAGTTTATCAAAAAAGCGGGTGATTGAATCAGCAAAGCGAATGTGAGCATTATTGTGTCCTTCTTCCTTTTCTCTCTCCGAAGCGTCAAACATTGTCAGTACAGCCACCACATCTGGTGGCAATACAGCGGCATGATCCACTGAAGCTTCGCTTCGTCGCTGCACTTCACGATGCGCCGCATCAGCTAAGGACACGGTTTCTAAGGGAACAAAATAAACAATCTTAGCTTCTTGATGACAACTGAATTCGAGCGATTGTCTCAACACGATAATCATTAGAAACAATTCCACGATTTATTTTATTCAGGTTTTGATAATTGTGAGGAGTTTCGAGCTTTCATTGCATCATCTTCCTTTCTTACCTTCCTTAATGTTCTCCAGTTGTTCCTGGACATGATAAGCTGTCACGTGTTCATCTTCCATCAGCTGGCGGTACAGATTAGACTCCACTTCCGTGAGCTCAGCTTCACGGTGCCGCTGACGACGCCAGAAACTGCGCCGGCCAGCGAGCTCCTCTTCAAGAAGAGCCACCTGCAAAAAAGGCATCAGAGGTTAGACGTGCTTTGATGTGCTGTGATGCACCCTGATGTGCGCTTGTAAAACACTATATACAAACAGTGAAGACTTACAGAGCCAGGGGGCGGGCGCCGTTTTCTTTGAGTACTTGAGGAAAGTGTGACAGGTTCTGTTACACCAAACTCTTGGTTCATCTTCACGCCACATATGGTGGACAGTGCACCAGTCACTGGATCCACAGCCTTCTCTCCGATCATGATAGGAACCAATCCCTCTCCACCAGGGTCCTCCAGTGAGCCTCCTAAGGGAATTATGGTGTCCGTCTCGTGGTTTTTGTCGATTCCAAGGATTGGAACCTCGAGCTCCATTCCTGATGGGTCCCTCATGGTGGTACCTATGAGTATAGGAAGCAGCTGACCAGTGGCCGAGAATTCGTACATTCCTGGGCTGCCACCACTCTCCGCCAATAGAGAGCAACGCTCCTCGCGGCGCATGATGTCATGAACACTTCTCAAACAATACAACATGAGCTTGGAGCGTCCCCGCTGAAGATCCTTTTGAGCATTCTCCAGCACACTTAGCTCATGACGGCCATCAGACTCATCTGGACCAGTTACGGCATCTTTCAAATCCTGCAGAGCCTCTAGGACGCGGAATTCATAATAGAGCTCACCAACGTCTAACACATATTGGTAACCTCCACCCATTGGTTCCAGTTCCTTCTCTTCTCCATCATCCACAAGCCTGGCACCAGTCACTTTCAGTGGCCTTCCTGACAGAGGCTCTGTGAACGAGTCACTGAGCAGCAATGGGATTTCATCGCCTCTGTCTAACTCCCCTGAAGTACCACCCAGGGGAATAACATTGCCTGTCCTTGGGTCAATGGTGACTGCCACGATGGGGGCTGGGCGACCAGAGTTAGGATCCAGCATCATCGAACCAATTTCTATGGCAACTGGAAGACCTGTCACTGGGTCGTCATGACAACCACCGACTGGATAAGCATTACCTAAAAGTTCATCAAAATAAAGGTTAAGTTCACTTTGTACACGAAGAAAAATTGAAGAAAAATAGAATTTCTACAGCTTTCTTCCAGCAATTTAATTTAAAATTTGTACGGAAAAACGCTTATTTACCGTCAAATTTGTGTTTTATTGGCTTCAACTTCATGGCTGCTTTAAAACAATAGGAACCTACTGGATTGCATGGAACTGACATTTTTTAAGTTTGTGTGATCGGTTTCCAGAGTCAAGAATACGAAACGAAGTACGGTGCCACAGCCCATTACAAAGTGCACATTCGGATCAAAGATATCTTGTCACCGTAAAAGTATTATGGTTCTGAGGCTAACCTGTCTCTGGATGAATAGTCATTCCTAAAATCGGAACAGGAAGACCAGTCCTTCCACAAATCATTCTCCCATTCAGCCTCATGTCTCCTTTCTTCTCGACTGGGATCAGAGTCAACTTCACAGGGACTCCTGTCTCGGGATTATTTGGGTATGGTACAAACGGAATAAGAGCCTCTGCTGATGTGGCTGCGTCTGCATTATTGCTGTCTGCGGTGAATGAGAGGCGAGATGCAAGCGGGTCATACGCAACATTTCCCTCGATGGGCATAACACGCCCGCTCTTTGGATGGACGAAAAAGTACTGCGGGACTGGAATATTAGTTAAGTTGTCAGCCAATAGCATATTAGCTGTCGTTGGGTTGGGAATCATTAGTCCCGTATGTGGGTCATGTGATATCATATCAGTGGCTTGAATGCTTCCATCGGCGTTAAATAAGTAACTCATGCTCAGAATCTCTCCTTCAATGGTGCACAGCCTCGCACCGGTGTCCTGTCCGAGTAATGCCCAGGTTCCTCGTCGCTGGCATTCACTGGTTATTTCTACGTTCAACCGCTGAATGATTGCATCAACACGGCTCCCAATCCTTTAAGAAAACAGTCACACGGAGCATGAGAATGAGGTTACGGAAAGTCCAGCAAAATAACGACCCAACTGTTTTTTCAGGAATAAAACTAAATGCCTGACTATTTGTACTTCCAATGATCATTTTCTTAAAGTTACCTGTGTTCCAACTGGTCGTTGAAGTCTCCAGCCACATCACCCTTGCCTTGCTTTTCACTGTAACCTTTCAGGATACGCATCGCTTCACGCAAAGATGAATCAAACGCCACTAAGTGCGCCTCTCTTGCTTCATCGTCTTCTTTCAGAATTGTTTTCTGCCGCTGCAAGATCTGCTGAAAATTGAAACCAAGCTCCTTCCTTCTCTCAAGTTCAGCTTCAAGCTAGGAAACAAAATAGAGATCTTGTTGTTGTAGTAAATCATTTTTCGGTTGAATCTAGTTTAAACCATGATAATATAATCCTACGTCCGCTTTCGCGCTAAAATCCATTTGCGACTGAAAATGAAAGAAAATCGCTTAAACAAATTGTTTTAAAGCTGCGCTTAACTTCCACAAACTACTGCAATGATCGGCCACTGAACATTAACTATGAAATGGTCCCGCGTGGGTCCCGCGTGGGATCAAATCTTACCTCTCCTTTCTTAGCCTCAAACATTCTCAAGTCTTCAGGTGTTGCCATGGCAGCTCGACCTTTAAGGTTGAGTTTGGCGATCCATAATCCCTTTAGAGACTCTGTCTGTTGGTTGATCTTCTGGTAAAGTTGTTTTGCCTGAAAATATTAAAAACATAAACATAAGCCTGGTCATAAAATAATGCAAAAAAATTTTAATCCTGTTATTGTGTTATCTTAAATGACTTCTAACGATAATTCAGGTGAAATGATTTCCGTCGCTCGGTATCATACGGAAATGTTTTGTTCTAAGATTTACTAGCTCGAGGCTTACATCATTTTTTAATGGAAACTAAGTTTAACTGTATGTAAGTTTCATTATTGGGAAACTCAGACAATCTTGAACATCAAGTATTCATGAAATTTTTCTGTGTTCCGAGGATCAAGTCATTGGGGCGCCAGAAAGCTAAACCACAGACAGCGAGCCAACGATAATTATTTTTGGTTTTGAGATTTTCCTGCGTTTCCTCACTGCAATTTGTAAGGCAGTTCACAATTGACCTGTCAGTATCCAATCAAAGACTGCAGGTAACGAAACTAGTTTTCAAGCTAAATCATTACGTTCCTGACTCCAGTTACCGTAAATCCGCTCTGTTGGCGCATGCTATCGAGACCTCTTTTAATTTCAATATAAATGTCAACAGTTATTACCTGGTCTTTTTGTCTGGCTATGGCTGCTGTTACTTCCCTGGACTGTTTGGCTAAAATACCATACAATCGCCCGGATGTAAAACCTTCCAAATCCACTTGTTGGTCGTAATCCCAGAATTCATCGCCCTTCACTTCCTCATCAACTAGAGAAACAAGCAAGTGATAGTCACCAATTATCTTACGTTTAATTCACGCATACCACAAGCGTTTCCATTTCCGTTGTCTCCTACAGCAACCCCGATTCTTTCTTCCTCTGTGCATCACAAATTGAAATTTATGACTATAAATTAGCCATATATACTATTTTCGTATGGTTCTGTTGCGTGCGCAAAAGAATCGACCTTTATCTAGTATTACACCTACCTGCAGGGCCCTTCTCCTGTAAGGGTCCTTCATTCGCATACTGATTGAGCGCCTCAAGATTCCTGTGGTACTTTTTGACAGGGTGAACAGTGGATCCTTTAGAGGAGTAGTCATCAAAGTTGTAATTCTGCGCCAGTACACGATAGCGGGGGAATTTGAAGGTAACTTTCTTCCATCCTTGTTTACGGAAGATTAACTACATGGGAAAGGAAAAAAACTGAAAACTTAGAAATGACTATAAGAAAACGCCCCTAAAACCTTTTTATTTTTTAAGAACACAAAGAAAAAAGGGGTGGAAGTTGATTGCAGAGATTTACCAAAAAGGACTGGAGGATCAAGTAAACTAAAGAAATATATTCTTTAAAACTTAAGCCAGTTTAATTTTTTTTTTATAGAAATGAAACGCTGAGTAAACCTCACACAACATATTGATTCAAATCTGCATAAAAAAACGACCTCATATGCCAAGTATTTTGTTCCTACGACCTTGCAATTCCTGAACATGACAAAAGATGTCTGGACACAAAAGCCATTCCTTGGGACAGAACAAAAAAACCAAACTTACCAAACCAATAACAAGAATAATCATCAATAGGGCGAAGCTTCCCAACATGGCGCCGATCAACACCCAGTCTGGCATGACAACGATATCCCTGGCGATCGCGATGCCATTTTGGATCACATTCCTTGGTGTTGTGGGGAAAAATGGACCATTTTCAGCACAATCAGCACCTTTGGCCATGACTCGAACAAACTGCAACACAAAATTTCAAGTTCTGTATTTTCATTTTCGTCTTTGTGTAAACCAATCTAACCAACCATTTTGCCTGACAACCAAAAATATAAACAGCTTGGTACGTTTATGTGTTTCAGTCCAGACAACTCAGAGATGATTGTTAGTTGTAAACGGTCATAACATCTGAGTCTTAATGTTAAAATAGCAAAATAGATAATCTGACTGTCAATAAACACAACTTACCATGGTGCTCTCTGGATTAGCGCTTGATGTGAACACGTAAACACCCTCTACATCAAACCTGTAGGCAAACAATTCAAACTTGGTGGATTCCAATTGATGTTTTTCTTCCAAAGCTTTAAACGGACCTTCATCAAAGGATGGATTTGTGTTGTACAGGTTGTTCTTGACGTACTTCGGGAAGTCTGTGTTAGAAACTTTCCACATCAAGTGCGAACCATGCTTCAGGCAAATGGTTGGGTTTGACATGCCTCTGTACGACAAATCGGACACAGCTCTTCTCTTTCTTCTGCTTGTAGCTGAAGATGAGTTTGCTGAGCTGAGTGCTAGTTGTGCAGCGAACAGATCAGAGACTTCTTCTGCTTCAGGATCATACGCTCCTTGTACTTCTCCGTCTGTTTGAGGATTGAAACAATAATTCAACGTAAACAGAAGAATGCAACCTTGAGTTTAATCCTGCAGTTCATACAAACGTAGAATACTGATGTAATCGCTGGAACCTCCTAAGTTGTTTGGAATCTTTGAATAATATACGAAAAAAAAACAGCTTCTAAAAAATTTTTGGAACATCTTCAAGGCTACGGGCTATCAAAACCTCTAGGATCAGTTTGGAAAAAAAGAAAAAAACAAAAAAAACATGGAGTTGGAGGAGTAACGTACCTTGAAGGACAACAAGACTTATAGAAGACTCTTGGCCCAAGGTGCAATCAAACGTTTCCTTGAAGTTTGGTACACTCTCTAACTCTGACAAATTGAAGACGGACGACTGAAATGAAACAAACACATCATCTTGTATTGATTGCGTATTCTTACAAACTTACGTCTTAAGGGAGATGAAACAAAAGCGGATGCAAATAAAAGAGGGAAAAGGGAAAATTTTTAAGGAAAGGAAACAAGGAAGGGAAATGGCAATAAAACGGAAATGAACAGGAAAAGGAAAACGATTTTGCCCACTTGAGGACTGAGTTCCTTGTAAACTTCAAATGATAGTAAGCCAATTGCTGAGCATATAAGAGATGAGGTGAACTTAAAGGTGGAAGAATTTTCGAGTGATTCCTCACTTGCGCTGCATCAGATCACTGATCTGTTTAATGCTATTTAAGGTTTGTGGAATGTTTAAATCAAACAGCTCTTACACACCAGACTGGTTGTTACTAAAATACTCCCTAAATAATGTTTGCATACCTCTCTGGAACGGGAATTGACCTTGAGTAGTGGTGGGTCGTTGCAAAGTATTTGAATCCGGTTTTCCTGCAGTAACCTGCATTCTCTGTCACAAATGTCGTCTGTGCTCGTTACCTTGCACTTACAAAGACCCAATTCTCCCACAAATCCTAGGGAGCCCTGAGAACATTTCTACAAGACAAGAGAGTACACCCATATCAATATCAGCCTTCGCTGTCGTTTTCAAGTGCAAGTTTGAAGTGCGCAAAACCACAAATTTCGTCCGCTTCTTTGCATGATTAGGATACTCCTAATCAACGGGTCTAATATTTGAAACAAAGGCAGGAAAGTCTTCGTAATGATAATCCATTTCCAAAGTTGTGTATTTACCGTATTATTGCAGTAATCATTCCATTGTTCCTCAGTCCAACAAATACCCTCCTGATTCCTCCAAGTACCATCTGTACATAATGGGTACAGCTTCAGGACACATTCGTCTCCGTTTTGAACATCATATCCCTTTTTACAGGTGCATGTTTTGTCCGATATCTGAGAGAGAAAAACTCAGGAGTCAACTTTCAAGAGGGAAGTTACATCCTCTGGCATCAGAATGTACCAGTACAAACAAAGTTTACTAAGGTAGCAAAGCACGGTAAGGAAACGATCAAAACAACTGAATTCACAAATATCATTTAATTGATATGAAACAGAAAAGCTTACTTTAAAATTAAGTTCAGTTGGAGATCAGTAACCTGCTGTAAAGCATTGTGTTTATGTCAAACATGGTTGCATACTCGTCATTACTCGACTCTGTAATTATATTTGCTGGAAAAATCCCGTATCTCTGAACATTTAAGTGGACACTGCTCATGATTTATTTTTCTTTCTACTTTTTGTGATCAACAGCACTCAAATTGTCCTATTTCTATGTACCTGGTATATTTGGTTCTTTCCATTACATACGCAGGTATCGGAACCTTCTCTAGATGTCAGCGGGCTACAAGACAGGCATGAAGTTTGAGCCTCCCAAGGATTATAGTGATTTTCTGGACAGGCATCACACTGGTCTTTGTGTCCAGCACCAAGCTTGTCATTATAAGTCCCATTCGGGCAGCTCACCAATTCTACACCCTTCTGGCAGTAGTAACCCCGAGGACACAGGTACGAATTGGTTTTCTCCACACCGAATTCTGTCCCATTCAAGCCAGGTTCATCTGTAGTTGCTCCTGAAGACAAATCATGGCAAAGTTCAGAACTGACAAAAAGCTGTAGTCTTAAAACAATAATAACTTTCTTGTACCTTCCAAACAAATGACACCATCACGGCAAGTCTTACACTCCAGACGGCTTGGATGATTTCCATACTGGCCTTTGGGGCAAATCACGCACGAGTCATTGAAGCTTTCTCTTGATGAATTTTCTACCTGTTTGTAACCTGAAGCAAAATCATATTAAATCAGTGAAAAAAATAAAAATGTAAACGACCCACAACTCTCAAACATCATTGCTACCCCACCACTCAGAGTGGTTAGCTTCTGATTGGTTAACAACCAAATTTAAAACCCAGGTGATGCAGAGGCAAGGAAACTACTGCCACAGGGCGAAAATGTGGATCAAGGATTGGTGACTCTGCCATCGTAATCTGGTTAAGTAATCAGAGTGATGTCCACGTACATGGAGTTTAAAAGCATCAACTGTCAGGTTTACTACTTACCTAAAGGACAAATCTTCGGCTGACAGGCACCGGAATTAAGGTCAGTAGGATCACAACGATCTTCTGGATCACAGTAAAACCCAGCGGGACAGCGTATGTATGACGGAGATCCAATTGGACAATAATGGCCAGCTGGGCATGGAACTTGGGTTTTGGTTTCATTGCAGTAATAACCCGGAAGACAAACAGTTGGTAATGTTCTTCCGGCAGGGCAATAAGTTCCATCTAGACACTCGTATCCATAGACACTGCTGTTAGACAGGGGACAATACCTCCCAGCAGGACAAAGGTGGCACTCAGATATGTTACGTGCCCCTGTGGAACTACGGAAGGTGCCGTTTGGACAAGGTATTGGTTGGTCTGTGGCGTTCAAGCAGTATTGACCAACTGGGCATGGAGAGGTGGTGTAGTCGGAAAGACCTGCAAGATAAAGTCAAGTATATTAGCTCAACAATTACGATGCGTGACACCAAGTGAACAATAACAGTTAACAGTTCACGTACGGGTCATGATACAAATTATGACTCATAAAACACTTTGGTTTACACGCGTAATGTTGCCGAATATGCCCCAACTTTGAAGTTCTACAGAAGATATTACCTAATTCTTATTCCCAGCGTCCAATCCGTCGACAGTCTTCCTTTGAAAGCTTATTGAAGTCTACAAAAAGTTTTGGCCTTCTCACAGAGGAATAGAAATTTGTTTGTATAAAAGTCGCTCTGAAACGTCAATATCTGTTTTCGACGGTGAGCTGTAGGTAAATGGTTTGTCCACGCCACCGAAAATATGTGAAGGAAAATAACCATAGCAGTCTTCGATTGGCTGACAAATGTACTCGTATTTTTGAACTTGACACTACCTGTTCATCAAAGCTCAGTTTTACCCGAGCTAAATGCAGGTTATCATTTTTTGTAGACTGCAATTTCTCTGCGACTAAAGACACCAAAAGCCTTACCTTCATACCAGCAATAGTAGCCAGCAGGGCATGGGTGACAGAAGCTTATATCTGTCGCACCAGATACGCTGTTGAATGTTCGAAGAGGGCAAGGTCTCGCAGTGTCATTGAAGGGACAATAATGTCCAACTGTACAATCTGTTGGTATAGAACTACCACTAACGCAAATCTTTCCAGCAGGACACACTTGACAAGCAGCTTTTGATTTGGCTCCCTTTTTAGTGATTACCAAACCTGGCTCACACGCCAATTTTTCTAACGTCCCAGAGGGACAGTAGAAACCAATAGGACATGGCTCTCCAATACTTGCATTAGATCCATCAGGGGTAGGGGTAGGATTGCCAATGTAACACAGATATCCTGCTGTACAATTGTCAGTGATGACACCCAGCTGGCAAAAATGACCAGCGACACAAGGTCTACATTGATCGGGACTGCTCAGTCCAGTTTCCTGGTCTTTCGTAAATGTTCCATTGGGGCAGAACACCGGTGTGTGCGTACCATTTGGACAGTAGTGATGGGGAGGGCATGCTATGGGGTTAGAGGTGTTGGCAAGGCAGTAGGAGCCTTCTGGGCAGACATCACACGATTCTTGCTGTTGTCGACTCTGATATGACCCTGGTTTACAGCCTACTGGGTTGGCAGTTCCCTTTGGACAGTAATGGCCAATTGGACATAGGAAATTGCTTGGTTTTGCAAAGCGAATATCTTCTTCTGCAGGGCAGTAGTAACCTGGTTCACAGTCTGCAGTCGCAAAGAGCAGACCAGATTGATTGCAATATTTTCCTTCAGTGCAAGGGAAACAATCATTACGCGATTTAGCACCAATGGTTGGCCTGAGGGTTCCTTCAGGGCACAAAGTGCCATTTGTTGTCCCCTCTTCACAGTAATACCCAGGCGGGCAAGGCCCATTGTCTTTATCATTAGGTTCTAAAAATTTGGCTCCCCCTTTGCAAAGGTACCCGGAACGACAAGGTCCAGTTGCATAAGCCTGTCCAGGAAGTTCACAGTACTTGCCAGGTGGGCATGCCAAGCACTCATTCTTAAATTTCCCGTATTCAGTAGGAAGATAAGTTCCACTTGGACATGGTGTTCCTTTGGGCAGCGACTCACCACCTGGACAATAGTGTCCCGGAGAACAAGGCGTCGGTTGAATGACAGACGTGTTGGGACAAGTAAAGCCAGTTGTACAGCTCTCACAAACACTCTGGCCTTCAATAGGACCATATTGACCCCTAGGACATGGTTCTTCCTTTACTGTTCCTTTAGTACAGAAGTGGCCTCTAGGACAAGCCTTACCCTGGATACCGTCTGTTGGGCGAGGAGTGGTTGAACCTTGAATAAAAGAGAAAATTAGAGAAGAAGATAATGTTATGGAGAAACTGCCAATACATTTCAGTAGGTTAGCTGAGCAGATTTATGTAGGCATGAAATTTTTACCTTTAGATGTTCAACATAAAAGTGCGGGTGGTATTTTTAATCATCTCCGCAAATTTTTAACTAAAAAAACCTCTCAATTGGTCTAACTTGTCTTTTTTCATCGTTGTTGTAGTGATAAATAAACGTTGCGGAATGGAAGAAAAAAAAAAAACCACCAAGGTATGTGGCAAGTCGGTCCTTACCTAGGATACAAACAAAACCAGCATCACAAGGTCGTTCTTCTACGATAGTAGCATTAGGGTCACAGTAGTACCCAGGGCTACAAGGCTTGCAGTCTGACACGTTTTTATTTCTCTCCGAGTTTGCAAACGAGCCTCGTGGACAAGGTACAGGTATGTAACTTCCCTTCACGCAGAAATGTCCTATGGGACAGTTTGCATATGGTGGATTTGGCACCTTGGCGCTTCCATTACAATAGAAGCCAGCCAAACACAGATCTTCAGGTTCAGTCAAACCTTCTTGTTGACAATAGTACCTACAGTTCGAAAAGAAAAACCTCTATCAGCAAAAGACCACTATAGTTCTGTTTTGTCAAATGCGGATGATCACTGTCTTTGAAGACGATTCATAATAATAAATGGCTCATTTGTTGATCTATTTAAAGTCCGAGTACCGAGACCATTTCTTTTCTCCACTATGATTTAGCACACACACACTGTGAGGTTTTCTTACCTGGGAGGGCACTCTGTACATTGTTCAGCTCGCTTAAGTTGAGTCTTGTTGCTCCATGTTCCAGAGGGACACTTGTGTTGTGTGGCAAATGACGTCCCTGACGGACAGTAATGTCCCATGGGGCATTCATATCCAGTCAGATTACTAACAGCAACTAACGTATTATCACAGTAGTATCCAGACAAACATGGCTCACATGCGAAGGAATACTCATTATCTTGGTAAGTGCCATTTGGACAGCGTTCTGGTAGAGGTGATCCCTTCAGGCAAAAGTGACCCACTGGACAGGGATGTGAGTTTGGAGATGACACTGTCTGACCAGGTGGACAGAAGTATCTTTTATCGCAAAGTCCATCTGGATAGTTTAGACCACTATTATTGCAGTACATACCAGCTATACATTCTATACACTCTGAAACATTCTCGTGTTTCTTTCCTGGTAAGTAATAGCCTGGTTGACACGCAAACGGGTGAGGTGATTCCAATGGGCAATAGTGTCCTTCTTCACATTCCACTTGGCGGCTGCTGGTGGATCCTGCTGGACAGTAATATCCAGGGTCACACGGTCCTGCCGTATCATCCAGCTCGTCTCGATCACAATACCTTCCAGGTGTGCATGTTGTCATGTTATGCGAAGCTTCTGGACAAAAGTGACCGGGTGTGCAACGTGTCGCACTAGGTTTAGCTTCTCTGTCGCCTCCAGGACAATAAAACCCCGCACTGCATGAATTGGTGGGTTTCTCATTTCCATAATAGGCGCAGTAGTGACCAGGGTCACACGGTAAGCAGTCTAGTGACGAGTTTCCCTGGAGCTTGGGGTTGTACGTACCTGGTTCACATGGTTTATAATGAGGTCTGGGCGTAGCTTCTGGACAGTAATAGCCTTTGGGACATTGATTGCCTTGATATGTGGTGGAGTTAGCATAGCAATAAAAGCCTTGAGGACATGGTTTGCAACTAGCTTTGCCTTCCTCATCTTGATAAGTTCCAGCAGGACAACCTGTAAAAAATGACATCAGTTTAGTCAAGAAATATTTTCACCCTGCTGGTTATGATTCAGTTGACTGTGACTTGCTGTCATTGAGACCACTATGTTTCAGATAGTTTCTTCATGGAAGATGTTTTGGTCAATGTTTCATCTTTGCTTTTATCGCAATTATTCATTCATTCTGGAGTTATTGTAAGGTAACTCTGTAGATCCTTTGAGAAAAGGCCAATTCTCTTCATATTAATAATTGTTATCCACGTAAAGTCTGAATATTTTGTTACAAGTATCACTTTCGTTTATGTAAGTACCTTCAAACATGACACTGCCAGCTTTACAGAAGTGCCCACGGGGACAAACATCACCAATGGTGATGTGCTTAAAATGAGCAGGACACTGTGTCAAGTTTGTCATGTATGGGTTTGGTGATGCTGCGCCAGACACACAATAGTAACCAGCACTACAGTTTCCACTTGGTTCCGTTAGGTTTGTGCCTCCACAGAATCTGCCACCAGAACAGGGCGTGCAGTCTTGTTCTCGCACTAAGTTCTTCCTGTTGCTGTAAGTACCAGCAGGGCACTGTTTCCAGTCAACTCCTGTACCATTTGGACAATAGAACCCCTCTGGACAGTCATTCTTAGCAGAACTCGAGTCACCTATAACACATTTGGAGAAAAGATGAAAAAACACATCAATATAACAAAAGCAGCTTAACTAGGAAAATGTTGACAGTTGAAAGAAGGTTTACTTCAACACAGCTGAGCTTGAAACAACAAAGCTTTCAGCTTCGGCTTTTTAAAGAGCATATTAATGACATAGTTTAAGTGGTTAAAACCATTGCTTTGCAAACCACAGACAAAGCGTGGGTTTAGGTGTTAAAATTACATCATCACAAACCTGGGATAACAAGTTCTGGGAGACAATAATAGCCCTCAGGGCACGTCGCACATTCCGATGATCTGGGACTTTCAGCAAATGTCCCTGCTGGGCAATCTTGAGGTTCAGGACTTCCTTCTGGGCAGTGCTTGCCAGCTGGACAAGGATACGGGTTACTAACATTTTGACCCTTGGGGCAATAATAGCCCTCGTCGCATTGAGCCTTTGGCTCAATAAGTCCCTCGTCATCGCAGAAATATCCTGACCTGCAATCCGTACACTCGTCCGCCTTTTCTAAACCACTGCCATTTGAATAAGTTCCTGACGGACACGGAAAAGGATGATGGGTACCCTGTGTACAATAACGGCCTGGAGGACATTGAATTTGTGTTTCACTTGATGAGCGAAGTGGACAATAGAAACCGGGTTTGCAAGATCCTGCTGTTTTTGTCATGGCTGTTTCATTACAGAATTCTCCACCAGTACAATTTAGGCATTCGTGTTCTGTCTGGAGACCTGTTGCTGGGCTGTAAGTACCAGCTGGACAATCGATTGGCTTGTCAACACCTTCATAAAAGACAAAACGAATAGAAGCAAGGTTGTTATGACAAAACCAAGAAAAATCTGAGACACGGCACCGCTTGGTGTGAAGTCACCAGGTCCCATTTATAATGATATTTTTTGTTTGTAATTTTTATTTAATAAACTCAGTTACTTCAGTGCTTGTGGTACGGAAAAATCTACCGGCCAAGCTAAGGAAGAAATATTGATAAGGAACAGTGTATAGTTTTTAAGACACTTGAGCATTGTGTACACCTTGATAGAAGCACGAAAATGGTAGCAATGTATCAAAATGATGAACTATAATTTAAATTTTATAACTTATCAACTCATATCTATGTTTTTCTTTCAAGTAAGAATTTATTTGAATTTTGGCATAAGAAACCTTAAGATTATTGGTATAATTTACAAGGTTAAAATAAGACCATCCAATAACAGGGTAAGAGAGGATGTTAATTACCTTCAGGGCAGTAATATCCGGCAGGACAGATGTCAGCTTTTTCTCCAAGTTCCGGCGTGGTACTATTAGCACCTTCTCTACAAAAATATCCAGCACCACATAACTTGTATGGAGTCACCAGACCCCACTCATCACAGACCATACCACCTGTACAAGTTCTACAATCTAACTCTTCATCCATGCCAGTCCTATTGTTGAATGTACCAGGAGGACACTTAAACTGTTCTGCATATCTTGTGCCTACTGGACAATAATGACCCTCAATGCAGATATACTGTCCATATAAGATGACTGGGCCATTAGTGTCATTGCAATAGAACTCTGCTGGGCAGATTTTACAGTCTGGTTTGGCTCTTTCGTCTTGGTAATATCCTGCTTCACAAGGTATGGGATTTGGACTTCCTTCCGGACATTTGTTTCCTTCAGGGCATTCATGCTGATCGTCGCTGTCTGCTCTACCGCTGCAATAGTACCCTGCCCTACACAGTGCTGTAGGCACAGGCAGCCCACTTCCACCACAGTACCACCCTGGGGTACAGTCTTGACAGTCAGTCACATTTCTTTGGGAAGTAATGACAGAAACACAAGGATTTAAACAGATGGTGAAATTCCGAGTTTACGACACTTTCTCGACTCTTTGAAAAGGTATAATTTTATAATTCAAAATACCATTTTGGTTTTTGTGGTTTAGAAAACCTAGACTTAGATACATGCCTTACCTTATTGGCGTCAAAAAAAGGGCGTAAAAAATTGAGAGGAACAATAAATTTAAATAGTCTTACCTATTTCCTGTACTATTTAAGAATGTTCCAATTGGGCAATTCTCTGATGCACCGCTTCCTCTTGGACAATACGTCCCATTTGGACAAATATCTCCTGTCACTCCATCTGTAGGTTTCGCTTCCTTTGCTCCGGATGTACAGTAGTGACCTGCTTCACAGTCAAACTCTGGTTCAGAAAGTTCTGGACGTGGGCAGTACTTTCCTGGATCACAGGGTATTGGCAAAGCTGATCCATTGGGGCAATAATATGACGTCGGACAGCGACCTAAATTGAAATTAAATTTTGGTTGTAGGGCGTTTGCGTCCAATACAGGAAAAGTACAGGACCTTAACGACTAATCCTTACCTGCTTATGCATACGTAGAGTATGTTGTAAGAAACTAACTCACATATGCTGAATGTTAAACTACATCACTAAAAGAAATAAGGCCCACAGGAACCCAGCTTATTCGTTACATTAGGAGGATGGGAGTTTCGCAACTCCTTCTGGATGGAAAGCTGGTCCATCCCAGGCAAGAGATAGCAAATTACATTTTATTGAAAGAACGTTACCTCCATCAGGTGTAGGGTTCGTAGATCCATTTCTGCAGAACCACCCTCCATAACAGAGCGCAGTAGGCTTACTCAGACCATTTCCTTCACAATACATTCCAGCAGTACAAGAAACACAGCTTGATTCTGCTTCCTGTCCAGTTAAATTGTTAAAAGTGCCCTCGTCACAGAGGTATGGAACACTTGTGTTTATTGGACAATACCTTCCGGATGGACAGACAGAGTCATTGAAGGTGGATGCCTTTGCAAGGCAGAAGAAGCCAGCAGGACATGATTTACAATATGTTTTTCCTTCTTCATCTTGGTAACTTCCATCAGGACACGGCTTAGGAAGGGTGTAACCTTCACGGCAGTAATGACCAACTGGACACACTCCACCATATCCTACATGAAGGAAATCAGATATAAAACAAACCACTCTCTCATATTCACCACAACATTCACAACACCATTGTTGAAGCAAGTATTCTAAAAAAAATTGAATATATTTTTTTCCCATTCCCTGCAGAAATGCCTGGAGTTATTTCCTTGGTGTTGCTTACATCCAACGTTACATTTGGCAAATTCATCGCTGGCCAACTTTGATTATAAGCTACTAGTAACTAACAGTTTTACCTGTGTGCAGTCCCAGGATGGAGCAGTTGCCCAGTAGTGACGTTCCATTCACTGAGTTAATAGGATCTGGTTTGTCAACACCGGATTCGCAGTAGTATCCTCCATAACAGTACCCAGTAGGCTCGATAGCATGGAGCTCACCACAGTACTTACCACCCGTGCAATCCTCACATTGAGTCACCAAGCTAAGCTTTGTTTTGTTACTGAATGTACCGAGTGGGCATGGCTTCCAGTCTAAACCAGTCCCAACAGGACAGTAGTACCCCCTTGGACACTCGTGGTAGCCAGACTTTGGATCTCCTGCTGTAACATTTTCTGGAAAGCAGTAATATCCCGGAGGACAGTCCTGACAAGATGCCTGCGTTGTGGCGTTGGTGTACGTTCCAGAAAGACAGTCTTTTGGAGTGGCGCTAGCTGTAACAGAAACGGTTTTGTTGTAGCATTAACATGAAAAGTCTCTTTTATGTCAAAGGTCAAGGATCTGTGTTTAAATCTTAAGAGAGACTCTTTCTAGTTGTTCATGAGCCATTTGGAAAACCTTGTATACAAAATATCTAAAATCCCTTCCTTGTCCTTTACTGAAAGATGACAAACCCCAAAACTCTTTTTTGCTAAAAAAGGCCACAGTCCAACTCGCTGAGTGATACAACGTTAAATGACTATGGAATTTCCAAGCTCACGAGCGGAAAACGAAAGAGTTTTCTTTGCAACTCGTTTTGTCTAATGTCTATTCAGGGATGGACTCTTATGTACCTCGCCATCATTTACTGTGAATGTCAAGTTACAAAATCCAGAACTTACCTATGGGGCAATGTAAGCCAATAGGACACGGAACAGCATTGTCCACCGAGGAACCAGTTGGACAGTAATAACCTGCCCTGCACTGCCCTGTGGGATACGTTCGTCCTCTTTCAGAACAATATGAGCCAGCTGTGCAATTGGTACACTGATCTTCTTTCCACAGGCCGGTGGTGTTAGAGTAAGTGCCCAGAGGACAGTCCTGGGGTGTATGGGTACCAAGTGGACAATATTTTCCTGCAGGACAGACTTCTTGCTGCTTACTAATTGAACCCCGAACACAGAAGTAACCCTCGTCACATTCTCCTGTTTCTGATGTATCTCCACTAAATTCACAGTAATATCCTTCCGTGCATGGAGTACACTGGCTGGAATTATGCAATCCTGAAATTTAAGAATAATCTTTCTTGCTGTAAATATGGTGCACAAAACCTATCATCTCTACGTAAAGGGACAAGCATATCAACCAGTTAGTCACTTTACAATTGAATGGCATCAAGGCCCAAAGCCACGTCATGTTAAGTCAAGTTCACTTCGAAAAGCAGTGAAGTCAACCCGAAGGTGATCATCACACTCGGGGAGGGGCAGGAATTAACACAACACGCTGAATAAACACACAATGACGAATCTACAGAGAAAAAACACACTGATAGAGTTAGTGTAGCTTACCCAAAACATTACTGAATGTTCCAGCAGGACAAGGTTCTGGTTCATCTGTGCCTTCCACACAAAACTTTCCTCGGGGACAAATATTTGCATCACTGGCCTGCTCAGGTGTGGCAGTTATTGCACCTGAATGAAAGAGAGTAAACAGTAAGGAAAAAGAACTGGAAAGAGCAGGTAACAAAAGACTGGGAAAAATATTCCTCAGTTCCGTGTTTGTTAGTAGCAATGTAAGCTCCATAATAAAATTCTGAATTTAGTTCTAAGGAACCATTCCTGGTATAACTGAACATAATCACAATAATATCTTCAGACTACTACATAGTAAATCACTTTCCGTTTGAATTTGAAACTTTCGAAAACGCGATAATATTGACAGAATAACTTACCTCTCTTGCAGAAATATCCAGAGCTACACAGTGTCTTTGGATGAGTCAAACCTGGTTCCCCACAATAATAGCGTGGAAGACAAGGTGTACATTCACTCTGACTTGCACGGCCTGTCAAGTTGTTAAAAGTGCCATTCTCACAGGGAAATTCTTCGGCAAATCGAGTTCCATTGGGACAAAAGTATCCCTCTGGACATAAATAAAGATTGTAATTCTTTACTCCACCAAATGTAGCATTGCAGTAGTAACGAGCTGGGCATTCTTTGCAAGTGTCTTTTAGAGGTTCATCTTGATAGTGGCCAGATTCACAATTTTCAGGGGTCGGAGAACCTTGAGTGCATTTACTTCCAGTTGGGCAGCCATATAAAGCTGGTGTACCAACTGACTGTCCAGCGGGGCAATAGTATCCAGCGGAACAGATTCCATCAGGAGCAGACAGACCTGATGTATTACAGAACTTTCCGGCAGTACAAAGCACACACGCACTTGAGTTTGTTGCTTCGATGCCACCATAATAAGTCCCTGGTTCACAAGCAATAGGATCCATGGATCCTTCAGGGCAGTAGTGACCAGGAGGACACTTTCCTCCAGTGCTGTCAGTTGGCGTTGAAGTACTTGCCTTTATCTTACAGAAATAACCTGCACTACAGTTTCCTTTTGGTTCACTCAGGCCGGCAACATCACAGAATTTACCTCCATCACATTCCCTTGGATACCCAGAACCTTCAGGACAGTAATACCCTGGTTGACATTTACCACCATGTGTAGTGGTCATGTTCGAAGTTGCACTTCCATTGCAATACCAGCCAGCACTACAGAGGCCTGTTGGCCAGGAGTTTCCATCGCCCTCACAATAGCTACCTTTTGGACAAGGAAGGCAGGATGCTTGTGTTTGCTGTGCAGTTAAGTTGTTAAATGTGCCTGGTGGACAGGGGTACTCATATGGCTGAGTAGTGTTAACTGGACAGTAGTGACCGCTTGGACAAGTGTAATTTATAAATGTGACTGTCTTTCCTAAACAGTAGAAACCAGGAGGACAAGGCTTACATTTATCCTGACCAGACTCATCATTGTATGTCCCTGCTTCACATGCCTCTGGTACAATGGAGCCCTGAACACAGAATGTTCCTGGAGGACAGATGTCACCAATGCCAGTGTACTGGCCAAGGAATGTTGGGTTAGGGCAAGAACCATTGGTAACATTGTATCCGTCAATATAAGGCTTGTCAACAGAAACACCTGTCATTCAAGCAACAAAAATTAAGACAGAAATAAAAAATCAGAAGGCATTTCTTCAAGAGAATATGTTTTTTCAAAGCATCAAAAACCTGACACTATGAATAACAAACATGCATTCCCTAAGCCTAGGCAAAGTATAAGAAAACAGCTTAACACATTTATTTTTAAGAAAGCTTTTAGTTAAATAGTTTAAAGTACACAGCATAAAGCACTTTTGAATACGTTTATAGAATGAGTGCCATTTAAATTATTCCTATTGGTTTTATCACCTCAATTTCAAATCTTCAAATTTGTTCTTGTTAAAGTAAACTACTATATTGCTAAAATCCTCCCAATTAAATGCTGAATTATTCCATGTTTTTATTTTCTTCATTGCATTAAAGGTCATGGTGAAACTTATTAAGTGTAAGCAACAACATGGATTCCTAAAATTTTTGACAAGACTAGAATCCTTAAAGACACCTTAACTGTTGATTATCTCAGATTTGCTTACCTATGGTACAGAAGTAGCCAGGAGCACAGAAATCTGTTGGAGAAGTCAAGTTCTTCCCATCACAGAATTTTCCACCATCACAGTCTTTGCACTGTTTTTCTTTGTGCAAGCCAAGATCATCACTATAGGTACCAGCAGGGCATGACTGCCAATCAAGACCAGTTCCTTCTGGGCAGTAGAACCCCCTCGGACAGATGCGGAACCCTATGGATTCATTTCTTGCTAGCTCAAGAGGGAAGCAGTAAAAACCATCTGGACAAGGATCACAACTGCCTCTCCCTGTTGAGTTAGTGAAAGTTCCTGCTGAACATGGTTTGGGTAGAGCACTGCCAGTGGGACAGTGAAACCCAATAGGACACTCAACTGGATCAGGAACAGATGAACCAGCTGGACAGTATGAGCCTTTCTTACAAGGGGCAGAGTAGTTAGCCTGACCAGGTGTAGAACAATAAAATCCTGCCACAAAAAGGTAACACTTAGTATCTATCTGCACTTTGGTCAAGACCCTCTAATCTTAAAAAATACCACACGTGTACACACCTGCAGTACAATTAATACAGTCAGTGATACTTGTTCTGGTATAGCTTGGTTGGAATGTTCCAATGGGACACAATTCTGCCTCTTCATTCTGTCCAATACAGTAAGTTCCTGGTTCACAACGGACTTCCATTGAACTAGATGAGCCAATTGGACAGTAATGGCCAGGGTCACATTTCCCAACTGGAGAATCCCGCCCAGGCTCAGAACAATAAAAACCTGCTGTGCAGTTCCAGCATTCACTGACATCCTTGTAGGCTACAATGAAAATTCAACATAATTTTAATGCAAGATCCACAATTGAAAAAAAAAAAAAAAACTGCAAAATTTTTCTTCTTCTTGTCATTGAACACATAAAAGTTATAGCTTTTTAAAACCACTGTTTTTTCAGCAATTTGTTAGTACACTGTAATTTCCAACTTCATCTGTTAAATAAAGAACAAAAATAGGCAAGGTAATTGGGCATGTTACATCACAACACACACCAGTATCATTCCCATATGTTCCAACAGGGCAGTTTACTGGTTCACCAGTTCCTTCTGGGCAATAATGACCCACTGGACAAATGTTGGCATCATTCCCTTGATCTGGGGTGGCACTGGAAGCATTACGCCGACAGAAGTAGCCAGCAGCACAGTACTGAATAGGATCTGGCATTCCTAAAAATAAAACAATGTATACAAAGAGTTAGCTTCTGATCCTTAGTAACTTTTAAAAAATAATTCTTGATTAGTACTACTTTGCATCGTAAATTATGTATCGAATTTACGTACAATTTTGAGTAATATATCTAATGGCAGGACAGTTTTTTAGTTACTAACATACCTTTGACTGGACAATACATGCCAGGTCTGCAACTAACACAGTCCTCTATCTTAGTAGCATGGGTTCTATTATTGTATGTTCCAGCTGGACAAGGGAACTGGTTAGAATATGATGTTCCATTAGGACAGAAGTATCCTTTTGGACATGGGCGTGATTCATATTCAGAGTTATTTCCTGGGCAGTAAAAGCCTTCTAAACATGCCAGACACTTTGCAAGCTTTGGAAGATGTCCATAAGTTCCTGGTGGACAAGGGAGTGGTGCTTGTGATCCCTGAGGACAGAAGTGACCAATTGGACAAATACCTCCATAGCCCGTTTCTCTGCCATCATAATGTGGACAAGAATCATTGCTACTGGCATTGTATGCCGTAATGTTGTCCCCAATGGGGTTGGGCCTGTCAAGGCCATAAGCACACCAGTGCCCAGGTGCACAGTCACCAGTGTAATTTATAGCATGTTCATTGCCACAGTACTTTCCTGGATCACAGACCCTACATTGAGAGACTCTCTCCAAACCCTCCTGATCACCATAGGTTCCTTTGGGACATGACTTCAAGTCAATACCAGTTCCATAAGGGCAGTAGAAGCCTTTTGTGCAGTTCTTTGGAACACCTGCTATTTTACAGAAGAATCCTGCAGGGCACAAAGAGCATTCCTTAGCATGTGTTGATTTGGCAAAGCTGTTGTTTTGGCATGGGATGGGTTCAGATGTGCCTCCTGGACAGAAGTGGCCTACTGGGCAGAAAAATTGATGTGGATCCTTCACCTTGTTCCCTCCAGGACAGTAGTATCTATAAAAAAGATAAGTGATCAATACATCACATTTCGCCATTACATAGGTCAATCAAACAGTCCAGAGATAATAGCAAAAAATACCTTTCTGCACAGGCACCAGTTTCTTTTGTTAATCCAACACCTTGGCAGTAATACCCTGGGGTGCAGTTGAAGCAATCATTAATGGCCATTCCCTTTGTGATGTTTCTAAATGTTCCATTAGGACACAATTCTGGCTCAAAAGTACCCTCAATGCAATATGCACCTGCAGGGCACTCAATCATGTCTGGCTTTGATGCCCCTGATGGGCAATAGTACCCTTTTCTGCATAGTCCTTCAGGCTCTACCAAGTTGAAGTTTTCACAGTATTGTCCTGGAGTACAGTTTTTGCACTGTTCCTCTGACGAGAGTTTAGTCTCATTGCTGAAGGTTCCAGGAGGACACTTCTCAGGTTCTGCAGTACCAACAGGGCAGTAAAAACCAGCTGGACAAGGGCCAGCGTCAGTATAGTTGAAGGTACCAGGGGGGCACAAAGTTGCATTTACAGGGAGACCTTCAGGAGTTGACACAGATACACCACTACGGCAGTAATACCCTAGGAATGAATCAAAACTAATGTTAATATTCTACACCTTTAAATGAGGGAAATGTAGCAGCCGTTGGGGGTGCAGCATGTGAGCATCTCTAAAGCATGTGAGCATATCCAAAAAGAAAATCAGTTTTACTGACCTCCATCACATTGCTTTGTATATGTTGTCTGTCCTAGTTCATCACAGTAGTAGCCACCTGGACATGGACTGCATTCATCAACACGAGAGAGACCAGAAGTGTTGCTAAACGTCCCCAGGGGACAGGGGAACTCATAAGCATGCGTGGTGCCATAAGGACAAAAATACCCTGGAGGACAGGTGCTGTTTTGATATAGAACCACGGGGGCATAGCGGTTGTCACAAAAGAATCCTTCTGGACAAACCTACAGTCAAATAGTAAATCAGCAGGGATAAAAAATCACATCTGCTATCATATGTTGAATTTCCTATAACTCCCCACTGCACAATGTAATAAAAGGATACCACCGCTGTTGCATCAAATTGTTGTTAAATTATCAACGATAATCTTTGAATTAAATTTGCTAGCAAAACTGCTCTTGTTTGATGACAAAGGAAGCTACCGCAAGATGTCACACAACACAAAATGGCACCTAGGGAGAATTTCAAACATCAAAAGCATTTTTCTTCTTTCCAGATTTGCAATAATTTAACTTATTTGACAAAATCTTACAGCACATTTCTATCAGTTCAACAAAAGCATGCTCCTGTATGGAGACTTTCTTCATTTTAACTCATTAACAGCTTCCAAGAAATTCATTATATTTTCATTTAAGAGTTAGAGCTGCTGTTACCCTAAACCAAAACATATGAATATGGAAAGTAACATACCTTACAAGACGACTGATTACTGCTGTCTTGGTAAAATCCAGACTCACACCGTTGCGGTTCTTTGGAACCTCTCAGGCAAAAGTGACCAAGAGTACACTCAAGTCCATTTGGATTTTTCACTCTCTGTCCAGGAGGACAGTAATATCCAGGATCACACTGGTCAGTGGGTTCTTTATTTCCATTTCCTTCACAGTAAAAACCACTGGTGCAGTCAACACAGTCCTCAACCTTTTCATTCTTAGTGGTATTAGAGAAAGTACCATTAGGACATGGTGCTGGTGTGGCACTACCCTCAATACAGTATGAACCCTCTGGACATTCCGCCCCAGTGACCCCATCTGTTGGTCTGTCTGTTTTAGAGCCTCCCACACAATAGTAACCAGCTGCGCAGTCAGCTGAAGGTGCTGGCAGAGCTTCACCTCCACAATATTTTCTTGCTGGGCACTGGAGAGGCTGTGAACTCCCTTCTGGACAGAACGTTCCGTTTAGGCACTTGCCTCCATTGGTGACAGGTTTTGCTGCTGTTGCGCCTCCACTGCAGTAGTATCCAGCATCACATGGGCCAGTAACATTAGAAAGACCTTAAAACATGCAAAAGCCATTTTACTTTTGCTTTAGTATTATTACAGCATGTTATTAATATACTCCAAGCTTTTTTGAAAACTGTGAATACCTGATTGCAGATACACTACTATAATCCCACATGCATCACCAACTCCCATAGTTAACTAACCTTGCCTGTCACAGTAATATCCAGCTGTGCACTGTACACAAGCACTGTCAGAAGACATGCCCGTCAAGTTGTTAAATGTTCCTTCAGAACATGGTTTGTCCGAAGCATAACTTGTTCCTAGTGGACAGATAAAGCCAGAAGGGCACTCTTGGGGACTTGTTGTATTGCCACTACAATAGAAGCCTCCTGGACATATCTGACAAGTTGCTTGACCACTTGCATTGTTATAGGTCCCAGGATCACATGGCTGTGGAAAAGCTGAGCCAGCAGGGCAGTGGAACCCTGGAGGGCAGATCCCACCATATGTTGTATTAGGTCTTGGAGTTGGGGATCCCTCAAGACAAAAGTAGCCAGGATCACAAGTACCATTCACATGATCTTGATGTCCCACTGCACAGAAAGAGCCAGCAGTACACAGGGTGCAGTCATCCACTGACTCTAATCTGCCAACATTACCAGGTGCAAATCTTCCAGGCGGACAAGGTGTAGGCTGAGAGACACCTCTCTCACAGTAATAACCTCCTTCAGGACATTCACCAAACCAAAAACGATTAAGTACTGGGTCATCTGGGGGTGTTGATACCTCAGCACCTCTAAAGCAAAAGTACCCTGGATCACATGGACCAGTAACATCCTTTAATGCCTCAGTCTCGCAGTACTGGCCTGCCGAGCAGTTTGTACACTCAGGCTTATTCTTGAGCCCTGTTCTATTGCCAAATGTACCAATAGGGCAGGCCTCTTTGGCTGTTGTTCCCGCTGTGCAATAATAGCCTTGAGGACAAGGTGAAGGGTTAATTGTTCCTATAAGGCACTCAGTACCTGCCTCACATTTTTGGCATGTCACCTTTCCTTCAATGGGAGCATAAAGGCCTGCAGATAAGCAATATAAACATTTCTTTACTTATTTGTTACCTGTCTTTGGTAAATTAACAGTACACTTTAAACATAGAATGCTTTTGGTGCTCTCCAGTTCCATGGAGTTCCTTAATCAGTTAACTAAACATTGACAGCAACTTGCAGTACCTGGTTGACACTTTTCTGGCTGCTGTCCAGCTAAGCAAGAACTTCCTCTTGGGCAAATTCCACCAGTAGAATCATTGTTTGGTTTGGGTATTTTAGCCCCACGCAAACAAAAAT